TCGACGCGCTTGGACCATGAACCTCTTCGGGAGGAAAAAGTCGCCCGCGGCCCCCGGCGGCCCGTCGGACCCGGCCCAGACCATCCTGAAGCTGCGGTCGACGGTGGAGACCCTCGAGAAGCGCCAGGTCCACCTCGACAAGAAGATCGAGCAGCAGACGAAGGAGGCCAAGGAAAAGATGGGCAAGAAGGACAAGCGCGGCGCGCTCTACTGCCTCAAGCGGAAGAAGATGTACGAGGCGGAGATCGAGAAGATCAACGGCGCGCGGCTCACGCTCGAGCAGCAGATGATCGCCATCGAGGCGACGGTGACCAACGCGGAGACGGTCAACGCCATGAAGAGCGGCGCCAAGGCCATGCAGGCCGCGCGCCAGAACGTCGACGCGGACACCGTGGGCGACCTCATGGACGACATCAAGGAGGAGATGGAGGTCGCGGACGAGATCAGCGCGGCCATCTCCGCGCCGGCGAACGACGTGCTCAACGACGACGACCTGCTCAACGAGCTCAACGAGATGGAGGAGCTCGAGCTCGAGAGCCAACTTTTGGACGCGCCTCCGATCCCCGCGATGCCGCTGCCGGCCGCGCCGACCGCCGCGTTCGACCTCCCCGCGGCGCCCACGGCGCTGCCGCCGGCGCCGGCGGCGGAGGACGCGGACATGAAGGCCCTCCGCGAGCTCGAGGCGGCCATGGCCATGTAGATGACGGAGCGAAGCGCGCGCCTAACCACCACCCCGGTATACTCCGCGTGCGACTCGTCGAAGGCGCGCGCCTGACTCGACTATTTAGGACACGTCGAGGACCCCGATGTTCTCGCAGATGTCCGTCGCCGGGGCGCCGTGCGTCGCCGCCGCGGCGCGCGCCACGCGGAGGCCGTCGACGGCGGCGGACACGATGCCGCCGGCGTAGCCCGCGCCCTCGCCGCAGGGGTACAGCCCCGGGAGGGACGTCGACTCCTTCGAGTCGTCGTCGCGCGGCACGCGCAGCGGCGCGGACGTCCGCGTCTCGACGCCGTGGAGGATCGCGTCGCCGCAGACGAAGCCGGGCATGGACCGCTCGAAGGCGTCCGTCGCCGCGGCGGCGATGGTCTCGACGAGCGCCGGCGGCAGCAGGTCGTGGCAGGGCGCCTCCTTGACGCCGAGGCGGTACGACGACGCCGGCGGTTGTGAACCCGCCTTCGGAGTCCGCCCGTCGACGAAGTCCGGCAGCCGCTGCACGGGGCACACGAAGTCGCCGCCGCCGAGCGCCGCCGCCGCCCGCTCGAGGGACCGCTGGAACTCGAGGACGCGCCGCGCGCCGTGCTTCGCGAACGGCTCGAGCACGGGGTCGTCCGCGGACACCGTCGCGACGATGGCCGAATTCGCGAACACCGAGTGCCGCCGGCTGTAGGACATGCCGTTGACGACCATGAGGTCCGGCCGCGTGAGCGCGGGCACGATCTGCCCGCCCGGGCACATGCAGAAGGAATAGCAGCCGCGGCCTTTCCCCTCGACGTCGTCGGCCGCCAACCGGTAGGCCGCGACGGGAAGTCGGGGCCCCTCGGCCGCGCCGCAG